AAACGGGGGATTCTCACGTCATCCAGTTTCCTGAAACTGAGAAAACTCCCCGCTCCCTTTCTTTTCGAGTGGTGGTTATCTTGAAAAGCAAGGATCACACAAGCAGCGAATATGTAATACAACTGCATTTTTCTTCGTAGCCGAAGACCAGCCAACAAAGTAGTAAAATGACCAAAGGAGCTTCGATCACAGAAAGCTGGAAACGCTGCTGAGTCCATCGGTGAAACACAATTACGAAAGGATAAAGCGGTCTTAAAAGTAAACATTAAGAAAAGTAAATAAAAGCACCTGTATTCGCCAGTGACGTATCTGTCGCGGTCTCGAAATATAAGTATGCTTGTTTTATAAACTTTGACAGCGATGCTTTTACCGCTTTCTGTTTTTGCATGATAGATATTTGCCTCTTTTCCAGTGCTCAGACATCCTTCAATGCTTTCAAAAACACCTCGTTGCAAAAGCCGCCGCAGTACAAGCAGAGTTCGTTTATCCAGAACCTGGAATAGAGCAATGAAGTATCTGAAAAGTACAAATATCTGGCACTAAGAAGAGGCCATGCCATAAGCAACAGTGTTGTCGCAGCAAAAGATACTCTGTAAAAACTTTCTGAAGACGATCTATTCTTCTTTCACACAAAAGTATCATCAAACTATTCGTAACGTCATAATCATACAACGTGGAAAATGAATTGTTTGGAAAATAAATCCTCACCACCCTGATCATCTAAAAATTATCCATAAAAAAATAATTACCTGTTGAGCAGTTGCTCGATCCGAACGATCTCTGCACAAAGGCCTTCTCTCGATCGCCTCTGTTAATTTTTGATTCCACTGTTCACCAAGATCTGGCAAATTTGCTAAAGAAAAAAATTCGTTTAAACAACGAAGGATACGAATTTACATGAAGATTAGGGCTTACATTTTACAATTGAGCATTAAAAAAAAAAAGCTTCGAAGTGCTCGTCGCCCAAATTAGTTATAGCCAAAAAAAAAAACAGTCTTTAACGGATGCTGGTAACGATGAGTGGTGATTTTCAAAAATTTATTGGAGTTTCATAAAAAGTGCT